TATTCAAAATCATCTCTAAACTTCTCGCTGGTATCATACTCCGTCGATTGACTACCGCACTTAAACGGCGTACGCGTGGGAAACAGGCTGGTTTTAAACCGGGTCGAGGTTGTATCGAGCACATCTTCACTCTTCGTCAAATTCTTGACATTTGCCAACTTGAGACATTTGTGTCGCCGTCGCGACATCCGGCTGTCTGTGAAGGGTCACATATATGCTGTAGCAGTCCGACCAGTACTACTCTACGGTGCAGAGACTCGACCACTATGAGAACAAGATAAAAATAGATTGTCGTTGATTAAAAACTGCTGTCTACGTCGCACTGCACGAGTCTGGTGGGGTAACCAGAACAGCAATGCAGAGGTTAGGCGTACAGTTTTAGGCAGTCGCGGTCGTCCACTGGAGTAAGTAATTAACCTGTTTAGATTACGTTGATTGAAGCATATTTTACGCATATCGCCAAATAGGTTTCCTCAGTGAGCGATGTTTGCCGAGGCAGGTAGCTGTTGGAAAAATCAAGGGCGGTCAAACTAAGACCTGGCATGAGGGTATGAAAACCCTGATCAGGAGACTGGCTCACATAGGCCCCGCTAGGCTCCCTGGCTGGGGACCCCGAGATCATGGCCACCGATGGTTAGATACACTGAGTGATATGGCTGGTTGTCGCAAACAGTGGCGCTCGTGAATCCACTCATTATTCCTCTAACACCATTTCATATAAATTCTCCATCTTCTGCTTGAATTTGCTTTCAACATTCCAATCTTCTTTATACTCTTTTATCCAAATGGTGCACCAAAAGGCAGAAACTACTCAAATTGAAGTGCAAAAGTGCTGAACTGAACTGAACTCCTCACGTCATTATTCGGAGCATTTAGAGGGATTGAGACAGGGTCCAGAAGCCGCGGAAACTTTTTGAACATTATCCAAGCTATCAAAAATCGTAAAAGATCAGGATAATCGAATATAGCTGAACATGAGGCCAGAGTATTTGAAGAGGGTACTAGGGATGTCAGTAGACAATTCCCCAATATAGGTAGAAAATAAGTTCGGGGAAAAGACTGCATCTTGAAGTAGCAATACGTTTTTCACCAATGGTTCGAATATCTTTTGACTACTCCAGGTAGATGGGATTTTACCACAGGAGCAATCAGTAAACCAGGCCAATAACTACTTGGGACAACCGAAGGTCTCCAGTTTACGAAAAAGTTGGGAGGCAGGAATAGAACTAAAAGTATACCAAAAATACACAACGTATAATGGAGTCAAATCACGTGTTTGATGTGGCCCAGGCATTTCCACCCGTCGAGTTAGTTCGAAGTCGCATTCTGGCCACAGCTGAAGCGATCACAATTCGCTTAAATAATCCTAAAAACAATTGATAAGAACATTTGATCGACATCAAACACCACACAGCCATCCCCCTAACCCCGTCCCTAAGGACTCGAACCAATGCGTGTGTGATGAACAAAATGTGAGCAACATCTGGTCATGGAATGTTGATTGTTTTTCTTCCAATTCTGCCATATTTTCTCCTCCCACTGAACATTTTGATATAAATTCTGATTTATAAGCCAGTAGATTAATCACTGCAAACGAGCTCGTTCTCTACTGTGTTCATTGTACAGTCACTCAAATATTTGTTAATTTTATGCACAAGTGAAGAAATTTCGTCTAGCGTTCATCTGCATGGGTTGTAGTCCAAATGAAGATCACACGGGTTGTAATGAGAGGACCGAATGCATGCAAGGAAAACACGTTCTGTTAATTTAGGACCAACTGAATTTAAATAAATAGGAGGCAAGTAGTCTGTTTGATTGAGGGACTTAGAGGATTTCCGGGATGGATTCATTTGTTATCAACCTTTAACAGTCTAAGATGGAACAGGTATTTAAGAAAGTGTTCAAGAATGATGTTCATACTTCAGTAAGACAATTGACTCTGTATCTTCACTTGGAAGAACTAAGATCATCGGAACTAATGTCATAGGTAGTTTACACGGTACGCAAACAGCTTCAAAATTTCTTCTTTAGAAACAATCTCTCTTTGAACTGCATTATCCGGATCAAACGGCCTGAGGAAATCGTTGGATGGACGTAAACACTGTCTAAAGCTGTTGCACAGTTCGGAGTTTCGGCTTTAGTCCCACAGCCAAATGCGATACCGTGCCACATGCGTTTAATATTGTCACATTGGAAAAGCGGTATGGCGTACGATGCAGTTAGCTGATTGCCATCAGGTTTGATCAGGCTGAAAGAATACTTGACAGACATGGTGTGTTTAGACGTATAAGGTTGCCTCCACTCTAGTGTGAATGGCTTTACCAGTGAAGATGCTATTCCATGATAACAGACAGAAAGGATGACGCCCTAAATATTTCATAATCGTTCCTTTTGTCATTTTTCGCGTACTCCAGAGTTTATCCGGTAAATAATTTACCTATAATATATGTATATATATATCTATAATATACAAATTTCTGAATTCCACATCAGATAGACGATAGGCTAAGTAAACCTATGCGACATCGGATACAAGCTCCGACACGCTGTTTTCATTTAAAAACCCTCTTCCATGAACATATCCAATATGCACGGACCCTTATTCCTCTAGAAGTTACATTATCTCCCAGTTGGACAACCAACCTTTGTCCTGATCAATGTTATCTGTACTGCTTTGTCACGTGATTAATAACAATTGAAAACGCATAATTCCGCTTTATCGTTTGGACTCGGAACTGTGCAATCCCTAGCAATATGGTGCGCTGTGCAACTATTCAAGAAACTGGATAGCCCAGGTGAAAGAATTTGTATTTGTATAACTTGTGTAAGCATGTATGCTCACATTTCAGTTAAATGTATAGATATAAGCCAGAGAAAGAGGCTGCATTAATACTTGGCATTACAGTTTCGAGAGTGCAGGCTATGCATGTGTACTGCTCAACGACCTACCAGTCCTTCCGTACGTACACGCTCTAAATGAAATCGGTGTTCCCGATTCCCGTTGGTTTATTCGCAACAATTCACTGCAAGTATGTGTATAGAGGATACAACGATGCTGAAGGAAATGGACAAAATAGTGACTGATTTTTTATTTCTTGCGAAATGTGATTGGGAATAACCTTGTGCCTACGTTACTCCCCACGGAATTTCCTGGTTCCTACTGGCTCGAACTGGACTAGGATATATTTGTCTCCCATTTAAGGATAAAACAACTGCGTCATATCAAAGTGGAAAATTTCAATCAGACGCAGCTGTTATGCTCACCGTTCTGTGAACTGCATCCTGCCATGTCCAACAGTAGCTGAGCGATTATCTTAGCACCGGCCACCTTCACCGAGGCTTGGACAAACTGCGCCAGATTCGACCGGATCCGATCCACCAGTGTCTCGACCACCACATACCGGATTCGCCGGATCAAGCGAGGATATGCACTGAATTGAGCGTTCAAAGTGGAAACACGCCGTTCGAGTACACGTTCCTGTTCCATTTTTTCCGATAGGGACAGATTATCCGGTGAATTTCTGTTGCAAAAGCAAACAGAAGTACAAGGGTTAGCCTAACACATTTGGCGATAAAACTGGAACCTACAGGTAAAATGATAAATCAACACCTGGATTTTCCTCCCTCAAAATATTAAGCAATCTCATCTGATTCGCTCGGCTGTACAGTGTCTTTTGATTGCAAAAATCGTCCAAATTACTTATACTCGTTGATATCTGCTACTTACGGGTTGCCCAGAGTAAACAAACCATCTCGATTACCATTTCTGTTTCTGAGTCTGAGGCCAATATGTGTTTTTCTGAAACTCTTTCTCTTGCCTTTGATAATTTTCTCCCCGAAGTACTGTAATCTTCACATCAAATTGTGCGCCACTGAGGACCTGGACCGGTTGCGTTATCTGGCTGTGTCATTTGAGTCGAATCTATTCCCGAGACCAGTAAAGTTTTGTCCAGTGAGTCATAATGGGTAATGGATTCCAATCACCTACTCCGACTTCTCGGATTCTGCGTACGGACTGTTGGAAATGACATGAGCAAACGGTAACAGTCACCATGTTGTCGTATGACTAGACACATCACTCTGTTAAATCATTAGTTCAGGTATAGCAGTCAGCAGCCATACAGCAATGTGACGACCTGTGTGTGCACTAGGTTAGTAAACCGATTTCATTGACCCCGATCCAGGGGTTGGATAAACTTGACGCACCTAGAATGCTTACAAATCTATTTATTGTTAATTTTAATTCTTCGTTATATCATCTGTGGGTCCTCAAGTCTGGCGGTCTCTCACTGTATTTCACGTCAACTCCCAGAGACGAGAATTTATGTGTACTGTTTTGTCCCGTAATATGAGATTTACTCCTTTTCCCGCCACGTTTGATTCAGTTCGACAAATTTGATTCGAAATATGAAGAAAATCATCTCACTTTTGCAACTGATCTAACTCCTGCTTTCTTGTTTCCAGCTCAGCAATCAGTTGACGCTTCATCCCGTGACACATGGAAAACAGATTCTCCGCAAACTGTGTCATAACGATTGCGTTGAAACGTGCGCTTTGATTGACCCCGGCACACAACTGTTCCAGTGTGATGGAACTGTTCGAGGAGAATTCATACCGATCGAGAGACAGAGAGATAGAGAGAGGTGTGTAGGGACACAAACATGCAGAGGAAGACAGAAGGAGTAGAGTAATAGTGCTAGTATGAATTTGAAGGAACCAGTAAATATCGAATGGATTTAGTTAAAAATGTGTCTAAAATTCAAATTCGATTTGAAAAAGAAAAGAACATAATAACACACAGAATAGGTGATACAGTAAAATTAGCATCTACCGTGGCATTTTACTAATCCTGCTGTACAGATTTTTCGTCCAATTTGTTGTAGTAACCTTGAAGAAATTTCATTTCGATTCATCACATTAGGTGGCTACACATCTAGGATAATAATACTGATATCTGATTAGTCGAATACAGTTAAGTCGTATTTCGGAACGCTAAAAACCAAAAGAAGTTGGTTCGGACGCTGATCTCACTCAGTCCTGGACGCCAAGTTGATTACCCGTTAAGTGAAGTATTGGTTCATCCGTGTCAATAGCCCCCCACCCCCAACTCGCCTACCGTCTCGCAGGTAACATGCATTAGGGACCGAATATATCACGGATACCTACATGTACCGGCCTCCAAACCGAACTGGATGAAATGTGAGCTTAGTTTTGTCCTGGAGATACCCCGAAACGAGATATCCGTCGTAGTGTGTGCAACTTCAACAACAGAAAGCTTCCGTGAATGTGAATCATTCGACGATGAGACGAGAAGATATCTTTTTTGTATTCTCTTTTTTTTCGACACAATCATCGATGGCTTCTATCCCCGGAAACTGAACGTGATTAAGAGACCTAAGAAGAACAAACTTTGATGCAAACTTATTCAGATAAGAACACCATCTGATCACACAATAAACAAAATGAGCCCCATTTTTGACCCTGTCTAGTCTGAACTCATTGGGTTCATTGTTTTTGTCATTTTCCACAGATCACTTTTTTCCCAATTTGATCAAATGCC